GTTGGATAGTTTTACTAGTATTATGCAGTAAAAATGAGAATGAAAAAAATTCCTTGAGTGACTTTTTGGAAATTTGGACCGCACGTGGAATATGAGTTTCGACGCGTTGCATACCCCTCTAAATTATGACCCCTGCCAYACACCACACTACTGCGTACTGTRTTGTACTACAAACTACAATATAACATACGATACGTACGTATAACATGTAATGTATACACGACGGCATTCCCGTTCCCGTTGAATCTTGACTTTGGACGTCGGGTCTTGTATTCTTATATGACTCAATACGTAMCGTAGGGTTCCTTTCTGCGCTGTGATACTCTCGTTTTTTGTTCATTTCCGTTGAGATATATTTTCGAGACAGCCGGGCCTCCGAATAACCGGATACATTCGGTACAATTTACTCAATCTGAAGTACTAATAGCATTACTTACACTCTTTCTACGAGCGTATCKGTACAACACCGTTCTTTACTACACGAGTTTTGTACCTACTATATCGTATTTGGAAGAGCTCGTAGGTCAAGAAATTATCTTACAACACGTCCTTCCATTTCGCGACGACGAATGGACAGTACGTACCGTAGCATAATAGGTGCATAAGTGTTTCGTACTGTACTATTGTATTTTCGTCTCTTCCTTAAAAATAATGGGAGGTACGTACTTGGGCAATATACTTAAGTGACGGAAGTACGTACCATACTGCGTCAGCAGCTCTGACCAGAAATTGGAACTACTCTTATTATTTTTATCAATTATGACATTTCGAAGGGTGGTTTGGTACTTTTATTTTGGCGAAAATCATACTATGACTTTCGACCTAAAATCGAAGATCGAATGCGAAAATAACTTAAACCCTATATTAGCTATCCGGATCCAAGCAAAAATTTCCCCAGCAAATCCGAAAATCAAAACTTTTGTTTCCTTCGAAGGTCGAAATGGAAAAACAAGACGACGCAATGCCAATCCTAACTGGAATAACAACATTTGTAACAATAAAACAGTGTCGTAGAAGTTCACTCAATCGGAACAGAGAATTGTAAGAACGGTTGGTACGCGGTGACGTTGCGAAGATCAAGAAATAATTGAAGGGGTGACGACGCTGCCCCACTAAGTAATTTCAATGACCGACCCAAATGCAAAGAACCCATTGCCCTCTGACGCCAGGGATAACTATACGCCCCATCGAAGCCATCATCCAGAGGAACTCTTGCACCACGACAAAAAGAAACACCACACCCGAGCCGAAGTGGAATACAATGTGTTTCGTGATAGCCTTTTGAGATACCTAGGCTACGCCAACGAGGTCGGCGAGAGTTTTCGGTACCAATACCCGCGATTCGTTGTTCCGTCCTACGTGGTGTCCTTTGGATACTGCTTGGCCGATGCCGCAACCTCTGGGAAAAAGGCATATGACTATTCCACTAGTGAAGGCTCCTCCACGGCAGCGATCGACTCGGTCGTTTCTACCGTCGACACACTGCTATGGCAGTCGCTGGCCAGCGTTCTCCTCCCCGGATTTGCGATCAACCAGATCGTCAAATTCTCCCGGTTTGCAGTAACAAAAAGCCCGATGGCTGCGCCTGTGGCTTTGGCGACGTGGTTGCCAACGGTAGCAGGTCTTGGAAGCATCCCGTGGATCATACACCCCATCGACGAGCTTGTGGATACGGCGATGGACAGCACTTTTCGGAGAGTCCGATGGAATCAGTTTTTTTCCTGATGAACGATTCAAACGGGAAAAACCGACCGGGTGGGTTTTTCCTTCCCCTATTTTTCTCTGTTATGTGTGTGATCGAAAGGAATAGTAAGCAGGCAGCGTCTTTGGTCGCCCGACTTGAGTCTGGACGGATAGACAAAATCACACCGTTTGCTATCAATCCAATAGATACATGTCCTTGTCGCAACTCAGTCAAATTATTATCCTTTCGTTTCATGAAGCGCCATGGTTAGGGTGTAATCGTGTTTGGATTATTGCTGCATTCACAATACAATACCCTTTTTGATTTCAAGAGTTATGTAATAATAAATACACATCTAGTTAATAGTATTACAGCTGATATGCTATGCGTACATTACCGCTCCCCCAGACAGAAAACGTAGAACCTAGGTGCACCAACTGGGAACGGTTCTCCTCCCAGACGCCGCGGCGTGTAGCCGGGAAAATTGATGTACACATAATCACCCCAGCAGTGTAGTTTCCAACCAACGGCCCAGGCAGACTTCAAAACGTTCCAGCGCGACAATTGGTCACCCTGAAGTCCAAGGCAGAAACGACCTTCATGCTTTGGATAAGACTGCCTTTCAAACAGTAGTTTGACACTTTGAAARGTGTCACGAATAAGAATCTCGTGTTCTTTCGAATTTTCATCTTCACCTGTGATGTACGGAAAATTCCAGACCAAGCTTATCGCCTTTCCTGTATCGTTAGGATGCCTTCTTCTCTCCACCTCGTCGATGAATTCTTCATTCGTATGAAGTGATGTCGCGTCAACTCCAATCATCGCATTTACTACGCGTGTGTCGGCGATTGACATGCCACTTAACACATCAGTGGTCGCCAGTAGCGGGGGCATTCCGAGATTTTTCAGCGATTTCGCAAATTCGAAGTTTCCTTCACCTAATAAAATTGTGTTGCTGTGATTGTACACAAACCATCCTATCACACCTGCTTCAAATGACAGCTCTTTCAATGGTGGGAAACACGATGCTGCTCTGTCCTCGCTAATTATGCATTGAGTCGGTTCTCCGTGAGAAAACACACAACTTGGCCCTTTCTTGCACTTTGGATGAAATCTACATAGTGGCCTGGGTGCTGAGAAAGAATGAACATATTTGCATAAAGTTCCATGATGACACCTTCCCAACAAAAAGTTGACGCATGCCATACCCTCTGTTCGGGCCGTCGTGACGGTTTTTGACGAAGGCAGTCCAAAATAAGCCTTGGCAGATGAGAGTGCCGATTCAGCCGACCGGTTCACAGCCAGATTTGTGAGCGCATCAATTAGATCAAATCCCCCCTGAGAAGGCGCGTAGAGTCGAAAGAACATGCTGCGTCCCATATGAGATGTTGACTCCAGTTGTTTGTCATCAACTCGTTTCCATAAGGGATTAGGATCGGYACAACGCAACCACTTCGGTTCGTGTTTTGCGAGGTAAAGTGCATTAAGGGTGCTATCAATAATTTCTTTGATAGATCTCAAACTACTGGGGTTCAACCTTTCTCCTTGACACCAATTTATGTTTTCTTTGTCATCCTCCTCAGTCCAAACCCAACCATTGGGTCTCTTGCTCTTGTGTGAAACTTCTGTTGATTGAAATTTCTCTGACTTCCTCTTTTCGTAATTTCGCAACCAGTGAGTTTCCCAATACAGATAAGCTGACAAGTTCGCTAAAGTTACACTTTGTTTCTCTGTCACATCAGCATTTGGATAATGGTCTTGAAGGAGCACTTGATTGAGTTCAGTGTCGCCAAAATGATGCACTATGGGTGACGGTCGATGATTCATAATGGCCATCATTGCAAGGGTTTCGTGGAGGAGCCCAATCCGACCMCCTTCTAATACCACTTGAGCATCTGTGACGCTCATTGGCAGAGCATTGATCATTTCCCCATACTTCGACGGAACTATTTGCGCATACGAGGCCATTTTGTTGCTGTGAAAGTTAGGCATTTGTTGTACCTCGTTGCAAGCACCTATTTGTATTAGAAACTTGAAAGCACTGTTTATCGTTCGTACAGGTGGGGGGTCGAGACACCCACGGAAGAATTGGCGAGGATCATCGAGTCCAAGTTTTTCGTCGGCGCATACCATGGATAGAAGTTCATCTTGACACGAGCTCATAGCAAGTTGTGACAAGTCCCATTCTTGTAGCTGCTGAATATAAAAGTTTTTATGAAGCAATCGAAAGACCCTACCGGGACAAGTCCGACCCGTTCTTCCTTTCCGTTGATCAGCAATAGATTTGGAGCACCAAGTCGTCTTCACGTCATAATTTCGTTTCGATACGTCCCATCTGACTTCCAGGCTKCGACAAAGATCTATGACACAAGTGACACCCGGAATAGTAATAGAAGAATCAGCGATCGCTGAGGCAAGTAAAATATGGCGACTAAGCTTGTCGCGACTTGCGGAGGCCATTGTTCGCATACAATCATCTATGTCAATAGCTGAATGGAGCACACTTAGCGTGAGTGGACCACAATCTGCTCCAACAAGTGTATGATAGACTTGTTCCAGATGCCTATAAGTCGGCGCGAATATAATAAATGGAGAGGTCTTGGGTTCTTGTGCATCCAACTGTCTGACAAGAGTTTGGATCAATGCAAGCATGGGGCTAGATAGAGATATCCCATTGTCAGAATGCAAATCGGTGTTCGGATCTCCTTTCATTAGTTGTAGGAATGGTTTGTGAGGCACGAGATCATCTTCTGGAATCGGAAGGTTGTCCAAGTAGAAGGTTTCAACTTGAGAATGCCACGCGGTGAAGCTCTGAGCTGTTTCCAGCGTTATCGTATCGATCGTTGAGCACCCCGGGACGTCTTTGAAATATGAGCTATATCGTTGATGATTGAATGCTGCGCTCATCAGCACCAATCGAAACTTTTCTTTTGGATACCTTGTCATCAATCGTTTCGTCAAGGCAAGAACAAGATCGTTCTCGGGGCTTCGTTCGTGACATTCGTCTACTATGACACATCCAAACTTCCGGAGTGAATCAACTCCATTGTGGCGGAGTTCTTCCAGGAGTATCCCAGCTGTAGTAAACAATATCTTATCTTGATTCGTTGACTCATTACGATTTCCTACATGAAAGCCAACATCCGAATCGCCACCAAGCTCGGGACAACCCCTTAGGCATGCTACGCGTTTCGCAATAGACAGCACTGCTAGCCTTCTAGGCAAGCTACACAATACGCGAGTATTTAGACCCTCCTCGAGAACGCTTGGAACCAGAGTGCTTTTTCCCGATCCCGTTGGACCAACCACGATTGTGACCCGATTGAGAGATACACATTCGATGATTTTTGATCGCGTCCTCTGCGAAATCATCGGACAGACATTTTTCATTGAAATATCATCCATTCTTCGGCATTGCGGTTGCTTCGATTAAGATTGTTACGGGGATGTCTCTGGGTTATAGTTTGGTTTGTGCAGYAGGTAAATGGTGTCGTAGTGATAGGTGGTGTCGTGTGTCCTATTCTATTTGTCTCCTCATGAATTCAAGGCGTCTACTTAGTGTTAGGCCAAAAACGAGTGSAACTGGCATGCATGCGTTAAAAATGCAAAAAATGATAGGATAATGCCTGTTTTGTACGAAATACACGTACGATACTCGTACTCCAATAATATGTCTGACTGTATCCTCTCACAAGGTCAGCGTACTGCCGTACAGCAGAGGTACCTCGAGAAAAAAATTGCGGTTTTTTCGCGTTTGTAAATTAATTGCAAAACTCTTGACGGCAAGAAAAGAGAACTGCTACCGCCAAACATATGACTTTAATGTCGTGAAGTCTCATAACCGGTATCACTCGTCTTTAGGTCGCAAAGTGACCTACTTGACTTACTTAKTATCCAAAAATTGGTGAAGGAGCCAATCATATTCGTTGTATTTCGTCTTCGTTCGGAAGATCAGATTGAGCAGCTCTACGAGTGATATTATTAGCATGGACGATTTCACACGTTCGAAAGGCCATTGATTTCTTACATAAGACGACAGGATCGTCCAGTAGGCACGAACTCCCCTGCGTTGAAGTTCTCCGTGCGCGGAGCTCTGTCTAAAAAATTATTTCAAACGGCCAATTGGGGATGCGCAAATCGTGCCACCGTACCTTGAAGTACTGCTATGTATTTTCGGTTCACACGATCCTAGCGATTTCTTTTGGCGTTCATCCGAAGGAACGTTCCGAGATTTTCTACCAGAGGTGCAATTTTTGGTGCGCAGAATTAACGATGAAATAACGGTACGAACGGTATGTGGAACAACGGCATCCACAAGTTTTATTTCCGGTGAAAAGCATTCGAAGCGCACAGTGTGTGAACATAAATCACGAGTAGATAGTGAATAAGCCAGAACGACTAAATAGACCCCGGAGACGTTTCGTTCGACAAAAATTCGATTTTTTTTTTATTCTCCCATCTCCATTTCCCCTCTCCCCCCCTCTCCCCCCCCCTTCCACACACAAAAACTAGTCCTTAAATATTTCTATTAGTGGTCCTTACTACTGGAGAGGTAAATTCATCGGTTACTACTTGAGAATTACTATTAGGGCTTACTACTGGAAAGCCTCTATTACTACTTACTACTGGGGATGTTATAGTAATGAGCACTGCGAACTGCCGTGTTAGGGGTTTTTGTGGTGCTGCTCCCAATAGTTTGAAACATTTTTTTAACTGTAAAAATGACCCTAACAATTTTGTGAGTGTTTGTGTGGGGACCATCAAAAACCAGCCAGAATTTTGCTCTCCAGTAGAAAATGCAGAAAAATCGTGGGCCGAAACCGCTCRAGGGTCTATATAGTCGCGCCCGTACCGGTAGGTACAAGTTATTTCGAAGAAGTAAAATGCGCTAAGCGTAGAATCCTACCACACCCTACAGGGCAAAAGGGCATTCTACTCAAACACTAAAAATTATTACTACTAGTAGGAAAATCACAGTTAATTTTGAAACCAAGTATTTTAGTACTGGGCCTACATAGATCTACCAGTTTTTGGTCACTTTTTCCACCACAAACAGCTCGTCAGCAATAAGCTAAAGTAAGCTAAATGGCCTCTAATGAAATCCCCTTTGGGGGGAATATGCTCGGTCATTGGGTTAGTACTAGTACTAAGACAAAGAGTGCTATAAGGTAGTAGGAAGGCAAATATGTTCTTGGTGCTGGAAAGTGATATCGGTTATGAGTACATAATTAGTAGTAGTGTACATGGGACTGATTAATTTTCATTCACAGTACTAGTACTATATAAACCATGTGCTGCTGSTGGTCACAAAGGGTATATTACATAGACCCTGCTGGTAGTAGCTGCAGGYTGGTCTTTGTTCATTAATTGCAAAAGAATATTAGGCCTCCTCATAGGAACTTCTTGTTAGTTGGTGCTGCATGCACCACAATACTAGTAATTACATCAATGAATTAAGTCATAAAAATTCCCATATATTACTAGTAGTAGTATTGAAATGTAAATTGTGTCCCTTGATAGTAGAAACTAGGATACTACTACTAAGAAATCAGTATGGGCATAATTTGTATTTGTTGTAGAGTGGTAAAGATTTTTGCTTGTGGTGAAAGGGGATGAAGATCTTCATGCAGAATATGATTCTCATTTCAACAAAGTAATTGTATTATCTAGTAGCTCTATTTTCACCAAAACAGGGGCCACATTCAAATAAATGCTCATTTCAGAGTGTCACTGAAAAGTGAACAGTAAATTGTTCTTGTGTGGTGGAAGAAATGCACACTATCCTGTCTTTGTTATTGACTCTGAATATCCTAAAGAACACCAATGAAAACACTACTACTGGTAAAAGAAGAAGTATTTAGGACGAAGAAGTTAAAAGAAGCAATCCTTGCCACATGCTAATACTAGTAGTACTAGTTACATTTGTTAAATTGCTCATCTAAGGAGAATTATGCCATTTATCAGCACCCTATGGTGCTGATCCCCCTTGGAGCACCTGGTGGTGGGACCATGCTTTGAAGAATAYGTTTAGTACTGGTTGTAGTAGTGGGACACCATCAGACTGAGAGAAAAACTAGAAGCAAGAAGAACTCAACAGTGTTACTAGTCATCTCACTGTTGAGGGAAACAATTTTTTCAAATTAGGAAGCAAARTTGGTCTTCCAACAATAGTACTAGTAGTAAACCTGCTTTCAAAATTATGGGAATAATAATGGTAATCATATCTCTAAATTGGCTTGGTGGTTCTTTGCATTGATACATCATTCCTCTCTTCTGATTCTAGTATTACTTGTTGCCGCATATTCCTCTCACATGGACTTGACAGATTTCACACATGATAGCATGCAAGAGTGTGATGGTCTAGTACCAACTATTTGTCAATTTCCATGTGCTTCCAATGTGCAACCAAAAACTTCTCTGCAAACTAATATTTATGTGTATTTCCTACTACAGCCTAGATCTGAGGTTCTCAATGCTCTTCATTTTAACTCATTTTAACTTTGCAATGACACTACTTGTCATCATGATACCAGGAAGAAAGCAGGAGACAGAAACTATCTTTTTGCCATTATCAACTGTGGTAAAAGCAGTGGTAATTTTTTGTCGTAAAATTAGCTTTTGTTCAAGTCAGTGATTATTCTACTTCTACTGGTATGAATATGTAAACAATTGATTTGGGTCCTGTCATTAAATTCATGATGCCATCTTTTGCACAGAAAGCAGTACAAACTCTACAGAGGTACTGAAGTACTACTAGTTTTCAAATATTTGGTGGCATAGACCCAATAATTTGAGAGTTTTTTATACACCCAGCATATTGGAAGTGGGGAACAAYACGGAACACCTGAGTTATTAGTGGGTAAATGAATTGCTTTGTACTTATTGTTGCTGATTGTAATGGACACTAGTATATGAATTGGTATAACAACAAACACATTCTTCCAATTTATACTAGTAATCAGGTGGCAAGTTTTCTTGCATCAAGCTGGCTATTATGATGCTACAGACTTGGTAGTTCTGTTGTGCTAAATGCTCCTCCTAGATTGTTGTATGTTCCAGTACCATTCTAAATTGAACAATGGGTTATTCTGTAGTAGGCTATGATGCCTGGTTCTTGCCTTGAAACCATATGCTTTGACTAGTAGCACAAGCTGTATTCTTCTGGGGAGGGCAAATTATTCTTTGTACCAGCAGTACCCACCACCATTCCAAGACCTTGCTTACGCATCATCCAGCCAGCAAAGATTGAACAAGAAGAAAGGCAGAAATTCTCACCACCACAACAAAGCTGTTGTCAGTAATTCTATTGAGGTGACTTACTGGTGGTGATATTATCGCACTACTAGTAGTATTACACCAACAAGAAGTACTACTTCTGATGCAAGGTAGTAGCTACTACTAGTAGTACTAGTACTATAGTACTATCTCTTCCTGGCTCAAAGAAAGTAATTAAAATGATTTTTGTGAGAATTAATAACAATTATAATGAAGAAAATTTCTGTCACAAATAGAAAATGTTGTGGGGTTTGTTGAGGTTAGAAATAAAATCAATACTGGTGGTAGTAGTACTACTAGTAGAATTCACTTGACCAAACCAGAATTAAAGTAAAGAATAATTTTGATGTTGGTCAATCCAGCATTCATACTGAAGAAATCTAAAATGTAAAAGAACCAGCTGTAAACCACCAAAAACAAAATGTAATCATTACTACTATAATAGACTTGGCAGGAGAACCAAGATTAAATTGAAAGAACAAAATGATGTGGTGTGATTGTGGCTCCAACTCCAACTGGAGGAGTGAAATATTCCACTTCTAGTTGACAAGAACAATGAAAAACATCATTCAACCCCTGGGGCCTTGTCAAGAACAATGTAACAAATGCCACATATTGCAACAAAAATTGAAACAATAGTYAAAAACATCTTCATCGTCAATAAGTCTGTTGTGATTAGGACTGTTCATCCATGGTGACACCCTTGTGATATTTCTTTCACTGCTTTTGCTTGTTGCATACTCCAACAACAAGAAGTGACAAAAGCAAGCACAAACACCAATTGCCAGACAAGTCTTTAGCCACTCCCACTGCTTCTTCCCAACTACTACTCCCAACTACATTGGCACAATTTTAACACAAGTAAAACTCCTAACTCTTCAGGCYACAATGTACCTTTCTAATGGTCATATTGTGTGAGTGACTATCTAATACTACTAGTGATGTAAATCAAGTGAGTTGATGCTCTTATTGAGGATTGACAAACTATGAAATCTAAGATCAATCAAAGTGGAAGTTGTCGCAGTGTATGTGCATGGCAGTTTGGTTGTACAAAGGCTCATGGGCAATCATATGTGGTAGAGTAGTGTGAGGATAGAGCACAATGGTAATGATTTTTATTGGACTCTAGTACCACATGCAACCACCCATGAGCCTTTGAACAACAGACTGTTATTGCACATACAACACGTCAACATTCACTGACTGTAACAAAGCTACACTTCATCATTTCAACAAACTCACCATTGTCAATGTTTCAAAATTCCCAACATCATTTCAAAATCTAAAACCTTGATTCAAGAAACACATTCTTACCTCTTGAAACATATTTGGCGCTAACATTCCCATGACAATTTTTAACTCCCGCGCTCACATTAAAATTTTAAATCCCACATTTGCACAATTACACATTTCTTCTAATTCCCGCTAACATTCCCATTACAATTTTTAAAGCATAACCTGTGGGAGTGACTATCAAATAGCAATGTGAATTGAGTGCTAGAAGAAAGATTGACAAACTATCATGAAATCTAGTAAGAGGATCAATCAAAGTGAAAATCAAGTGATGCGTGTGAATCGAATGAGTCAAGTAAATGGTGAGGATCCATAGGATCAAATGAGTTGTGAATGTAGAGTGTCTATGAATCATAGATATGTGTCCAATGTATGTGTCATAGTTATGAATCATACCCACAATATGAGTGATATCCTACTAGTACAGTCAGCACCACATCAGTGCCAGCAGGAGGTACCATCCATCAGAGCAACTAGGAACATTCATTACCCCATATTTGTGCCCTGTCCAACCTAGTAGTGCCTCCTCTTTTTGTTCACAGCAGCAGGTTCTTAAATATTATTGAGATTTTTTAAATTTTCACTGRTGCCCTCCTCGTTCTTGTTGTTCTTCTACTAGTAGTAGTACTAGTAGTCACAATAATCTGGTGGTGGTGGTTTGAGTGGAAATATGCAAAATATTTGAAACAGTGATGGATCCAACAGAAACAGTGACTGCTATTTGAGAATGTTGTACTATTACTACTACTACTAGTATTGCAACTGCTACTACTAGTAGTAGCAGAAGCACGAGAAAGGTAGTAGATTCTGTTTCAGACAAAAACTATCGTACGGAATATATGACAACAAGCGAGAGAACACGTCTCATACTTTGGAGTCAACATTGTTTTCTGCGATGTTGAAATTAATCATGGATTCCGTTTGAAGAATTTTTTATATTTCAGTTGTATTTTAGGATGGAATCCAAAATTGAATCACGTATCACGACAAGATTCCGGATCTTTGGACTGCCATCGTCGTCGGGTGGACAGTCGTCACACGATGAAAATTCACGAGGACAACGGAGAAAAACATCGACAACAACGTCCTTGACTGGGCGCTTGGTAGAAGTACAGTAATGTGAAATAGAATCGCGAAGACCGAACTCCCCGCTCTTTTCTTCGAACTTCGTCTTGCACCAAACCGTTCACAACTGCAAAAGAAAGAATTCTCAGACAGCAACAACCATGGCCGAATCCAAACCCAAACTAGTCCTTGCCTACTCCGGTGGTCTCGACACCTCTGTCATTCTAAAGTGGTTGTGCGAGAAGGGATTTGATGTCATCGCCTTCTGCGCCAACGTCGGACAATTCGAGGAAGATTTTTCCGCCGTCGAAGCCAAGGCACTCGCTGTCGGTGCCAGCAAGTGCGTCATCACCGACTTGCGAAAGGAATTCGTAACCGATTATGTCTTTGACTGCATCAAATCGAATGCCATCTACGAAGGTCGATACCTTCTCGGTACCTCGATCGCCCGACCCTGCATCTCCAAGGAAATGATCCGAATCGCCAACGAAGAAGGCGCTACGTACATTGCCCACGGAGCCACCGGAAAGGGAAACGATCAGGTCCGTTTCGAGATGTGTGCCCAAGCTCTTTCCCCTACCATCAAATGCATTGCCCCATGGCGCGATGCCGAATTCATCGAATCCTTCAAGGGACGAAAGGATTTGTTGGCCTACTGCGAAAAACACTCCATCCCCGTCGATGCCAAGCCCAAGTCGAACTACTCGATCGACGAGAATCTTTTCCACACCTCCTACGAATCTGGATGTCTCGAGGACGCCGCGTGTGGTCCCGAAGAATCCATGTTCAAGATGACCGTTTCGCCACAAGCCGCCCCCGAGACCGGGGAAATCGTTGTCATTGAATTCGACAAGGGAATCCCGGTCAAGATCACCAACAAGTCGGACGGAACCGTCAAGACCGATCCCCTCGATATTTTCTTGTACTGCAACATGATCGCCGGAAAGCACGGAATTGGCCGCATCGACATTGTYGAAAACCGATTCGTCGGAATCAAGTCTCGTGGGGTTTACGAGACTCCCGGAGGCACCCTGCTTCGAGCGGCGCACATGGACTTGGAAGGCATTTGCATGGACCGCGAGGTCAAGCGCATCACCGAGGGCATGTCGAACGAATTCGCCCGATTGTGCTACAACGGATTCTGGTTCGCGCCAGAGATGGAATTGATCCGCCACTCGCTCGACTACAGCCAGCGCGACGTCGTCGGAGAGGTCGAGATCGAGCTCTACAAGGGCAACTGCACCATCAAGGGACGAACCAGCCCAAACGCCTTGTACAACGCCGATCTTGCCTCTATGGACATCGAGGGTGGAGGTGACGCCTTTGATTACAACCCCGCCGATGCCCAGGGATTCATCCGCATCAATGCCGTCCGTCTCAAGACCTACGCCGCCCTCCGAGCAAAGGATTCTGCTTAGAAAATGTAATCTATACAAAAGGACAACGAGTTTAAGCATTTGTGACATCGTTCCGCCTTCGTTTCGCCGTTGTAATTTCTGTAGTATTGAGTAGAACCATGGTCGCTCACAAAAAAGAAAGAAACGAGGACCAACTTTGAAAAACCTGTTTCTCTTGCAGTTGATGCCAAAAAAGGGTACATTACGTTACGTTACATTACATTACATTACAACACGTTAGTACTAGTTCATTGCCGAGCGGTAGGTGGACACCAGCGATGCGGAGCGAATTCGGAATGTCCATCGAGGCTTGGACTGCCAAATCCAAGATTCACCGGCAGGCCGCGACCGCTGGTGTCGTCTCGCATCGTTTCTGTTGCTGGAGGACCTTTTGTACGGTTGCGCAGGGCGCGATGCCCGCTCTCCTGCAGCCTCCCACATCGATGTGCCGCAGGGCGGGACCGTCGATGCGGCAGCGATCGAGACGCCGGCAGTTCCGCAGGTCGAGACGGGCCAGCTTCGTTGCGCCCGTCACAGAGAGTTCTCTCAGCTGCACCAGGCCACCCAGGTCGAGGCTCGGGAGGCTCCGAGCATCCTCGAGGGACACGGATTTCAGGCTCGAGCAGCAGGTGGTCTACGGTGGCAGAGTGTTTCGCGTTGTCGATCGATTGGAAAGAAGAAACAAAAGGAGCAACCACAAGGGCGTGTTTTGAGAGGATGTACCAGCAAGCAACAACAGCAAGGATTCCAGTGGTCACTTGCTSGCAAGCGCCAGGATTTTGTATCGGATCGCGTTTTGGGCTGGAACGGAGGCTCGTTGCGTTTTCGTTTTCGTTTATTCTCACTTACGTTCAAAACCCGGAGGGCCGGGCAAACCAGCCGGAGCCTCGAAAGGTTGTGCGCAAACCCGGCGTCGAGGTGGCGGAGGCTCCCCGWCGAGAGGTCCAGGGTGTGCACGCCGAGGCACTCCTCCAGGACCAGGCGTTYCAGGAGGGGGGACTCTTCCACCAGCCGCTCGATCTCGGTGTCGGAGAGGCGGACGCAGAAGGACAGGTCCAGGACCCGGAGGCCCGGGCAGACGAACCSCGAGAGGCTGCGGAGGGAAAGGCCGCCGGCAAGGCTCGCCCTGGCCAGGCTCGGAAAGAAGCCCACAGGCTCGGACAAGCCGTCGCAGTGGCCCAGGCCGAGCTCCTCCAGGGCCGTGCTCCCGCAGAGGCCGGCCAGGTCGGCGTCCCTCAGCGCCGGAGAGTGCTCGCAGACTAGCGACCTCAGGCGCGGCGAGCCCTCCCGGAGCGACGCCAGCAGCCCGTGGCCCCCGGGGCTCCTGGAGAGGACCAGGTCGGTGAGGTTCTTGAGCCGGAGGCGTCCGCTTCCGATGGCGCAGCCCTCCAGCCGGACCGATCGCAGCCCCCCCGCCGCCGGACACGCGTTGAGGATTTCCAGCAGGCCCCCGCTCCCGCAGTCCCCCGCTTCGACGCCCTCCAGGTCGAGGACCCCCAGGTTCGGAAAGCCCTCCAGCAGCCGCTGCAGGACGGGCCGGGGAAGCGCGGCTTGGGGTGGCCCGGTTCCCCGCTGGCCCCGGAAGAAACCGCACTCGCCTTCGGCCACGCGCAGGTGGGACGACGCGGAAACGAGTTTCCCCATTCTCCCGGMTGCAACCGAGAGCCTCGCATAGTCGGCCAGGGTCAGGTACGACAAGAGAACGTCCATCGAGTTGGGATCGAGCACGTATTCCAGCAGCGAAGGCAAAGAACGGGAGGCACCGCTTTCGTCGCCGCCGGGGACACCGCGAGCCCCTGAAAACATCGTGGCCATGGGAATCTACTGTATGAATTATGTGTTTTGGGGTTCAGTTCTGTTCTGTTCTGTACGGTACTGTACTGTACTGTACTGTTCGGCTCGGTGGTGTTTTCTCCGCGTCCGTTTGGCCTTTCTGGGCGAGTGCCTGGGTTGTGCTGCTTTCGGTTTCGACCTCTCTGGTCTGTTGATGCAAACCAATCAACTACTGCTAGTAGGCACGTAGTTTCWTGCGTTGGGATCGATGGTGAGCTTTTGTCATCCCCTGCTCGGATGGGGTCTTCTCCCGTGACGCGGAAAAACGAATTCGATGGAGGTTTGTTTGCCCTGTTCCGCCACAGCGCCGTGATTCGAAGAATCTGTCCCATCACCGGCGACGACGGAGAGATTCGATTGATTCATTGATTGATTCGGTCCCCGAAAACGATTCCTTCGCGGAACGTTGGGTGCGGCAAAATTTGTGAGAGGTTTGGAAGCTCGTAGAATCCAGTACTGGTGTACGGTATTCAGCGCATCACTGCGAGCTCCAGTATGTACGAGTACGAGTACGAGTACGAGTACTTACGTACGCAATCTTATTGACATAATTCTGCGATGGTTGGGTTCTTGGGTGGGCAATAGTACAGTCTCGGTGAGAGTCGTTCCAGAACGGTAGGTAGATTTATTCGATAGCAATGTACTATATGTAGGTATTATATCATAGTATGTCCATGCACGTGTCCGTTCCGCATTCCACTTCGCTTTGGAGAGTGAACCCGGGGGAAACGTGGAGCACGGAAACCATTCCCGAATGGACGAGTCACGAGAATGGAAGAGGAGAACCACCCATATTCTACCCGCAGGCCCGAGGCCCGTCGATTTTTGGTGTTGCGAAAAAGGGTTCACATACCGGTACACGGCACGATGCGTGGGACGAATCGCATGTACCGTACACCACATCGAAATCGTTTCGAAACCGTTCCGCCGTGAACGACGAGCTTTCCTCCTGCCACTACACAACCAAAGGGGATCTTGTCCTTGCCACTAGCATTGCGAGACTTGAGGTGACAACTAGAAACGACACAGAAACGCACTAACGCACAGAGATCGAACGAGACACAGACATAGACACAGACACAGACATAGACACAGACACAAACAAAGACACACAAAATGGCGGTTCGTACGAGACGAAGCAGAGGGGGAAAGAACGAGGAGGAGCTGGAGGCAATCCCGCAGAAGGCCAAACCGGACCAAACAAGCTCCGTCCCGGTGGAAGAGGGGGACCAGGAAAACGACGAAGCAGAGGAGGAGGCGAGAAACACAGACTCCTCGGACGCCGGAGAAGACAACGGCAACGACGATGATGATGCCGACAACGATAGCGACAACGACGACGGCGAAAACACCAACGACAGCGACAGCGACCACGACGGCTCCGGAACCGGAACCAGAGGGGCCATCCCGTCCACACCGGCGGCCCCCGGCCAGAGGGCCGGAACGCCAGGGGGGAACGGGCCCGCGAAACAAAAGAAGAACGCCCTGACGCACCTGGTGCCCGGGTACACGGCGCGGATGAAGCTGGATTCCTCCTCGCTCGACCGGTACCGGTGCGGGATCGGGGAGCTCGGGAGGAGGGCGGAGAAGGGGGACGCCTCGACCAGGGGCTTTGTCCGGGAGGCCACGGCCTCCAAGGCGGGGTCCGCCATGTCCTCTCGCAGGGGCGGCTTTCTCCCCTCCTCGTACGAAGCGTCCTACTCGCACTTCAAGAAGGGGACCAGGGCGGCCCCCGACACCTCGGCCGGGAGGGGCTGGTTCGGGATGAAACCGGCGGCCATGACGGAGGAGCTCAGGACGGACCTGGCCATCATCCGAAACCGGACCTACCTGGACCCGAAGCGCTTTTACAAGTCCTCCGACAAGCACCACTCGGTGGTGCAGGTGGGGACCGTCGTCGAGGGCGCCTCGGAGTTCTACTCCTCCCGCCTGGCCAAGAAGGACCGGAGGGCGAACCTCACCGAGGAGCTCATGGCCGATGCGGCGACCGCGAGCTACGCGAAGGACCGCTTCCGCAAGATGGCCAGGGAAAAGGCCTACCAGGCCGAGCTGCGGAAAACCAGGCCCAAGAAGAAGTCCCGCAAGTTCTACTAGGAGGGGGCGCGGCACGGCTTGGCGCGGAGGTCGGTGGTGGTTTTGGTTTTGGTTTTGGTTTTGGTTTTGGTTTTGGTTTTGGTTTTGGTGGCTGTTGCTCATCCATTTCCCTTTCCATTACCGCCGGTGCTGTTTCTTTTGGGCTGTCGGGTGTCCTTGCGGTTTTCCACCAACTAGAATAGAACATGTAACAGTAACGAGCTGCGCGTCAAGCGCTGCCCGTGAAAGAGCGAATAGGAATAACTACCAGTGTTTTATACGGTATTTATTGCAATGTGCTGTACTGTACTGTACTGTACTGTACTGTACTGTACTGTACTGTACTGTACTGCAGGCATGGATGTCTTTCGTCGTTGTTCTCCGGTGCTGCGTTCATTGTTGTAGTTCGTGGGGTCCCAATCTTTGGCAACTGTTCGAGTTGTACCGTACCTTGCAAGCAACATCGCTCTTGGTTCTGGTTCTGGGGCCTGTGCGATGCGATGCGATGCGATGCGATGCGATGCGATGCTGGTGGCACTTGGTGGTTTTCTGTGCTTTGGTTTGTTTTGCCTTGCGTTGCGGCGTGTTGCAGTGCGACGCAATGCCGCAGCCAGAAAAGCGTGGCGATGATGCATGGGATGGGATGGGATGGGATGGCATCGCATCGCTTGGTTTTGGCCAGCTCGTTTTGAGTCGGGTCGGGTTCAATTCAATTCAATTCAATTCAATTCAATTCAATTCAATTCAATTCAATTCAATTCAATTCAATTCAATTCAATTCAATTCAATTCAATTCAA